AGCCCTAAATCGTTCAGAGCCCGTCAGAAGTCCTTCGAAAACTGCGTCCCAGTCCTCCTCGACCAAGGTCCAACCTTCAGCTTGAGCGTGGCGAAGGTCACCGCGGCTGACTGCGTCGCTCACGTTGGCCGAAGAAGTGACTCGCTGCCAGGCGGGGCGAAGCTGGATCCCCTCCATGTAGCGCCAACTGTGTTGGAGCAGTCTGTTGATCGACTCATCCTTGCCAAAGCCCTTCGACAGAGCGTGGCGAGCTGGTTCATTGTCCACGAACATGATCACGTGCTGGTCGATGCGGTCATGCAAGACGAGCAGCGGTAGGATTTGAGCAACAATCTCGAGCATGTAGATGTAGGCTCTGCGGCTTGCGAATTCCCGAACAAACCAGTGGGGAACTCGGCCTGCGGCGTAGAACGTTTGGCCGCGGGCAGTGGCCACGAAACCCCAACCGTTGCGAAGCGTCTCCGGTGGTGTCCTTCCCCACTGTGGTATGTCCTCGTCCGAAGGCTTCCAGTCCTTCTCGAAGAGGTTGAAGAAGGCGTCTGCGTAAATCACGGATCGAGGTTGTTCTCGGAACATCAGCTGCCTCGGCGAGGCGTGATGTAGGCTCCAGCGAATGAGGCCGATGCCATGGCGAAGCTGGTCGTTCAATCTCCACTCGGAGTGGTCACGGCCGTGGCCTGTCTGTTTGGCCCGAGCGAAAAGTGGCCTCAAAGCTGCTGCGTGAGACCTGCCCATCAGGGCTTGGCAGAAGAACTGGAGTTTTCCCGCTAAGCTGGACGCCTCGTTCGGCGGTAGTCTGTCAGCTGTTAGGACCGCCACCAGGTCTGCGTCAAGTCGTTGGCGGCGCGAGGACGTGCCCTGCACCATGACGTAGTCTGCGTGCACGGATATGTCCACACCTTGGATGACTTGCGAATGGTCCGGCGGCTGCTCCTTAGATTGCTTAAAAGAAAAACCCAGTGCACGGCAAAGGCGTTTCGAGTACTCAAAGGAGGAGTGCGCGAGCTTGTCGTCCTCGCAGCTGCCAAAGTCGTCGACGAAGTGCAACGCCGGCGTCAACAGACATGCACGGCAAAGCCATGACATGAGGTCTGCGACGCGACAGTAAGACCACACTGACGCAACTGACCCAAACATCAAGACTGTGTGTCTCCATAAGGTTATGCCGTGTGGCGTGGGAAGCACCACCCAAGTGTGGTCCGGGTCCTCCGCTGCTAGCTGGCGGTAGGCGGACTCGTGGTCGAGGCCCCATATCAGAAGCTTCGCTGAAGGGTCGACCTTTTTGATCGCGACTGCGAGGCGGACATAGGCTGAGACATCATGGTATGGGGGCGTGTCGGAGATTCCCACCGTAGCATTGGCGAAGGACCTCCTCCAATCTTCAGCTCTGCGTACCTTGGGCTTGTTGTCGGAGCCAACCTGGTGCACTGCGAAGGCGAAGCAAGTCGGCTTGTGTGCTTCGGGGCCTGGTAGAAGTCTGCTTGTGTGTGCGTGCGTTGCGAGGGGAACCGCTGTCTTGGGCCAGGTAGTCGGACTTGTGAAAGGGCCTTCCATGCGTCCGAGGCGAACGTCCTCTGCGATCTCGTTCGCCAACTGTTCCCAGCACGGGTCGACTCTTGATCTGCGAAGTTTGTCGCACACATAGCGTTCGTTCTTGTCAATGAAGTCGTTAAACTGCAACGGGTTGGCGTAGCGGAGATCATTGCGCTTGCGCCAACCAAGTCCTGGGTTTATCGGCCCCAGGAGCCGAAAGCCTCGAGTGAGCTCATCGAAGATGTCGGGGTCCTGCCAACCGAACCTTTCACAAATGATGCGCAGGACCGGTAGCTGCAACGAACATGTCCGTTGTTGGCTGTAGTACGCTTTCTGGACGTGGGGCTTCAGTGAAGAGAACCATCGGTCTGTCGTCGCGCTCATGTCGACGACCATCTCCTCGATTTGCTCGACGACTGCGTGTCGTAGGTCGGGTAGGTGCAGGCGCATCCGTCTCCAAATTTCCAACCATTGTTCCAAGCCAGGCTCCAGGGCGGCGTCGCGGAAGTCGGGGTGTGGCATGATGCGCGACCGCTTCCAGTGTTCTGTTGGATCGTCCAGGTAGGAAAGGTCGAAGTCGTCGTAGTCGTCAAGGCCGGGGCCCATGAGCGGGGGCTTGCCCTGCCACAGCGAAGCCGTGATGTCAATGGCGGTGCCACCCAGAGGGTTCAGCTCTGCTGAGGGAGTCGGCACTGTAGCTGCGAAGACGGCCATGATGAAGATGAGGCGAGCTGCTCCTGCATGCCATCCGTTAGCTAAGGCTTTGTGTCGAGCGTGGTCATGTAGGTCTCGTGTCCATCCAACTGGCAGGTGATGGAATTGTTCTTTCACTGATGCGGGCGGTATGACGCAGCGGCCTTGTCCGTCTGTCATCATGACTCCCGACTCGTAGTGCCACGGGGCGTACTTCTTCTTGTCGGCCATCCAGCGTTGCGTGGCGTCGCTGCTGATCTTCCCTTTTGCACTTCGTGGTGCCGGGCGACCGTTGGGGTCGTCTGAGGGCGTAGTAAGGCATGGGAGTGGCTTCATCTCCTCGGTGAGACAGCGTGGAAGGGCGAGGCCTTGTGTGTCCCACGTCTGTGTATCGTCCTTGGGGACCTCGAAGTGAACTCTGGGTATCCCCTGCGTGCTGGTCCAGCGCATCGAGAGCGGACAGTCTTTGCGGTGCGCCACTTCGGACCAGGGTATCCGACACCACCAGACTCTCGGTCTGGAGATGGTTCCGAAGTCAGCCGAGTCGTGCACGACCGCGGGCGCGTCGAGAAGCTTCTCGATCTTGCGCATGTCGGCGCGGTTCTGGGGGATGACATTCTCCACGAGTAGGGTGGCTCGGCTGCGGTTCCATAGCTTTTCTAGGTCAACGATGAGCTTGGCGAAGCGTGTGAACTTGGAGCCTTCGGTGCCTTCGTGTCCTGGCGCGTCTTGTCGTATGCGTGAGAAATCATGACACGGAGGTCCGGCAGCGATGACCACCTGGGCTGAGCGAGAAGGGTCTAGCTGTTGCACAAGTTCTGACAGCGATTCTGCGGTCTCTTGCTCAAAGTCACCGCGAGTCAAGACGTCAGGGAAGTGCTTGATTCCGAGCTTCACTAGGTCCTCATCGATTTCCCAAGAAGCTCCTCTCCAGCTGAGTCCCTTCGCCTTGCAGTGGTTGTCGCACACGAGGAAGGCGGTGCCGAGGCCGTCGAAGAAGCTGAGGACCACGAAGTCGACGGCGGTGGTCTTGTCTCTCGTTGTGACCTGTTGGTTACTTAGCAGCTTGGCCTTGGTGTGTAGTGCGGTAGCTGGGGGCGTAGCGCGTTGTCGTGGCAAAGGTGACCGAGAGCGTGCGAAAGAGGTCGAGTCGGGTTCTTTCACATGGTCGGGTCCACCCCCAGGGGATGGCCCGTGCTGTCCCTATTCATGGTCGCGGTGCTCACGGCGTGTGGAGTCATTGTGGTTCCACGACCTCCAGTTGCGCTGGTCGGAGCCGCGACTGCGATCATCCTCTCGTCGGCGCCACTGATCTCGGTCGTCCTCGTTCTGGCGTTGGTAGCGTTGCTGTCGCCACTGCTGTTGGCCACGACCACGACCGCGTCCCCATCCTTTCCCGTTGCCTTTGCTGGGGCGGTAGGGCTGCCAATCCCTAACTTGTTGTTGACCTTTTCCTCCACGTCCTCCTCGTCGATCTTGCCAAGGCTGCTCGAAGCTCCGCGGCGCCTTCGTTGGTCGCTCCACGGCGACTTCCTTGCTCATTGTCTCCTGAAGCGACTGGCTGTCGGTCATGATCTCGGAGGCGACGTCGTTGAAGGGAGTGCTTTTCCGAAGCGCGAGAGCTATGCGCCACGCGGTGTTCTCCCAGTGTATCTTGAGCTGCTCGATCTTGTTCGGGCGGCTGCGCACCAATCGTTGCCACCACTCGAAGTACTTGTCAAGCTCGTGCTCGGGGGCGTACTCCACGAAGACTAGAGCCATGTGAATAGCCTGCAGACAGTCGAGAAGTGCTGTCTGCGATTGCGGACGCCATCGGTCCTCAGGCTCGGTCTCGAGTTGCAAGTCGGAGTTGAGGACGAGCGTGGTCACCTCGTTGCTGCGCGAGCGCTTCTTGGCAGTGCTGAGGTTGTTGGGCTCGCCTGAGGCTTTGAAGTGGCGAGTCTGGACGATCTCCTCGAGGGGTATGGCGTTGTGCTGCAAGCTCTTAGCGTCGAATACGATGCGAGCCAAAGTGGCCTCCGCGCCAAGGAGCAAGGTTTCCGGGAATCTCCTTGCTATGCCTTTGATCGTTACAGACTCGAACTTCTTGACTTGTGCCTGCCAATAGCCAGCGGGAAGTTCCTTCTTGGAAGAAGAGGCGGAGGCGGTGCTGCCTGTAGTCGGTGCGGCTGGCGCTGCCGAAGGTGTGGCCGCAGAGGCGTCACGGCACTTCTTCCACACGTGGCGCAGGCGAGCGCGAGTCACTGGAAAGTCGGTGGACAGCACCTCCATGATGTTGCCATCGCTGAGCTTGTAGGGCTTGCGAAGGGGTTCCACCACGGCTTCGTCAAACTCCTGGATCGTTTCTCCTAGCTCCCCGAATACCCCGACGGAGGAGATGCCAAGGTCTTCGATGTACTTTCGAAGATCTTCTCCTGCGCCAGCTGCCGAGACAATGGCCTTCAGGGCGGGATCCATCGAGGCTTAGTGGGGACACAGGGGGAGCAGATGCGAAAGGGGGGCTGCGGGCAGCTATTGTTCAAGTCTCATTGATCTCAGCTGACCGAACTTGCACTGAACGAGGCAGTCCCTACGTAAGTGTCGCATTCTTTTAGCGCAGCGGAGGCTGCGGTGCTCGTCATCGCAAGACAGCGGAGGCTGTCTTTAGCTGGAGGAGGAGCAGCTGGCGCTGTCCGTTGACTCGGTCTCAGATCCTGTCTTGGCCGCCGTCGGAGGCGGGGCGACTGAGCTCGGAGCTGATTCCGGGAAACATTTCCTGCACAGCACGTGCGACCCGTTATCGACTGCCCGGGTGAATCGTGAGTAGCCATAGGCCCACCCACAGCGGGCCCTCCAACGAATCGGGGGCCTCGTGGCTTCCTCTGCGTCGCGGGCGTGAGCTTTCTTCTTGACAATGAGGTCGGGCCGCTCCTGATCATGCTCCAGGCGGTCTGCTATGGCATCCAGCTGCCCCATGAGCTGAGAGACTGCGACGTCGTTCTGCGCTGCGTTCATTCTGGGCTTCTTGGCTGTAGGCGCGGCGCTGTCTGATGCCGCGCTTTGCTCCTCCGGCACGAGGGTCCACTTGGTGCGGTCGGGGGAGTCGCTCTGCGTCTCGGAGCTCCGGGCTTCTGCGACGGAAGGTCTCTTGGTGCCAATCATGACGATGTCCTCCAATTCGGTGTCCTGTACATAGCGTTCGATGGCGCGGCTTCCCCATCTGCCCAACAGCATGATGGTCGACACTGGGATGCGCATGCGACACAGGTGTTGTGCCCCTGACACTCGTAAGCAGTGTCCCCCGAAGCGATTGACCTCGGCTTCGTCAGCTGCTCCGGGGCGATGCAATGCGATGCCTGCTGCAGTGAGTACCTCGTGGATCATTTCGATGGTCCGGGCCTTGCTGAGCGGCTCGTCGGGGAACTCGGAGAAGAGGAAGTCGTCAGGGCCACCATGGATCTCGTCCGCTATGCGAAGCGCTGCGTGGTAAGGGCACAGGGTCTCCGGAACAATGCCGCAGTAACAAGAGTGCTTGCGCTGCACGAGGTGGCCAACTGTGTCAGTCTTGCTGGCGGCGAGCGTGAGCGTCACCTGTTTCGACTCAGTGTCGATGACCATGTGTTTGACTCGCAGTCCTGCGAGCTCAATCTCGCGGCAGAGGAACCATGTCCCCAGCACCACCATTCCGTGGGCGAAGGCAGTGTGTTTCGGAACTCCTTCGAGATCGATGTCGAGCGCATCGAGGCGGAAGGCGTCCTTGACGGCCGTGGCTCCCATGCCTCGTTCAATGGAGCGGATGGCGTCGCGTATCGCCATCTCGACCGTCGCCGGGACGGGCATGCCAGTGACCTTTATGTGCTCCTTCCGTGCTCGAGAGAAGTACTGCGCCGAGCTCCGATATCCGCCGAAGCGAAAACTGGTGCCGACCAACTCAATCAGTTCTGGGGTGAGAGGAACTGGCTCTCGGCCCCAAGAGGCGCAGATCTTGGCCCAAGTTGTCCAACGAGCGTCCAGAGGAGCCCGAGCGGAGCGGGCGTAGATGTTGTCTCGGAAATCCTGCAAGGCCCTCTCAGCGTTGGCTGGCTTGGCCGCTGCGATGGCGCGAGAAAGCATACCCCCCGCCGATGTGCGAATCTGCGGCAGGTCACTCCGTGTTTGAGTCGGTGCTGACTGGGCGGCCTGTGCTTCCTTGTAGCCAGAGTAAAGCAAAATTGTCTCGATGTGAGATGCGAGCTCGGGCGAGACATGTGCCTGGACTTGCGCGGCGTGCTGTATGTTCTCAATCAGCTCATCGCTTAGCATGTTAACCACATCATCACCCAGTCCCGCGTCCGCGCATACGCGAAAAAGGGCGTCGAAACATGTGAAGTCATAGCACGACATGGCGCTGCGGGCTACACAACCTAAACTGCAAAACTGACGAACCTCGGGAGGAGCGCTGCGGCCTGCAGCTGGTCTTGCGTGTGGACATGGAAGTCGGCTGAGTACCTGCGGGGCGAGGGCGGGTGATTATTGCACTCATGTAAACACTGAACTGGCACAGCACTGTAAGACATGCGAAGCGTGCGGCACAAAGAAGCTACACTGCAACTGAAACATGCAACTGACAGACATGACTGTGCGAAGCGAGGCTCAAGCAAAACCCTGGCACACATGCGAAGCTTGCGGCGCATGAGAAGACTGCACTGCAACTGAAACATGCAACTGACAGACATGTTTGTGCGAGGCGAGGCTCAGGCACAACCCTTGCACAAACTCTTGTCCCAAGTCCCGGAGAGAGAGAGCGAGCGGGAGAATCCTAATGCGCGAGAAGAGGCACTCATGTCAGGCGGCAACGGCGAGAAGAGAGAGAGAGCGAGGTCGAGACCTAATGCGCGAGGCGAGTTGCAGCTCTCACTAACTCCTGTGGGTCGGGAGGGGGGGAGAGCGGGGTATCACTTCACTCGGCCTGTCTTTTACACCGGCGCTCCGCGAGGCGAGGAAGATCACGAAAACATGTGGCACCCGGACACTGATCTCAGCGTGTCCTGGCGGTGCGAGCCCTATCGCACGGCGAGCAGAAGTGGTGCTTATGTACAGTGCCACTGCTCGTGCGTATGATGGGCCTGAAACAGCGGCCTAAGCACACGTCGGTGCGGTGCCGTTTCGGTGTTTCACAACCGAGGTTGCAAAAGCCGTGCACTCGCGAGTCGGCGTAGCGCGAAGGCACCGGCTGCTCAGGAACACCTTGCGGGAGCGACCATATCGTGCTTGTCTCGTTCGGGAGCACGTTACATGGGTCGGGCTCATCCGCCCAGCGGGCCTCTGCATCCACTTCGCGCTGTCTGCGAGCAGCTCGGCGGGCTTCGCGTGCGACCAGGTCAGGAGGTGGCCAGCTGGTCTGCGGGGCGGGTGCGACGGGCGGGTCCTGCACTGGAGCTGTCTGCACACCCGTGGTGTCACCCGTTGTCGCTGCGTACCCCGCTGCGTCCTGCTGACCCTGCTCCGTGTCGCCCACTGTGGCCGCTGACGAGGCAGCAGCTCCAGAGTCCCACGGCGGTGCGACAGGCGCGGTGCACAAAACAGACCTCTGTACTATGCGAGGCGGCCCTTGGTCGTCGTCATCGTCGTCGTCCCCTTGGTCCTGCTCCGCGGGGTCGTCCATGGGGTCCTCCTCGCTGTCCGTGTCGAGGTCGATCAGCTGGTCATTGTTTGCGTCTCCATCCTCGGAGCTGGCCAGGGACGAGCCTGGCACTGGTGGAAGGCCGGGCTGCGAGGCGGGCGCGGCCTGCATGTGGAACTCGAGGTCGGGCGCGATCATGTCCAGGTAGTCCATGTTGCCGACATCGGGGCGGGGCGGAGCTGCTTGCACCTGCGGCTCCTCTTTGGGCGGCTCAGTCCGGTAAACCATGAGGTCAACGTCGGCCGCCACCGAGTCGACAAAGGGCTCCGTGAAGACTGCCGCCAAGGGGTCGACCTGCGGTATGACCGGCGGGCGCTTCACCACCACTGGCTGTGCGGACTTCTTGGCTGCCGCCTGTGTCGGCTTGGCTGGCTTCGCTTGCGTGGCGGCGCGAGGCGGTGCCGCTTTGGGAGGAGGGAGAGGCGGGTCCTCCTTCGGCACCGGGCCTGTTTGTCCACCACTTGCTGACGAAGCTGCGGGTCGACTCGGCGAAGGCGGCGGCGCGGGAGCATGTTGTCCACCACTTGAAGAGGAGGCACCTGGTCGTGTAGCCGGCGGCGGCGGCGTGGTACTCGTCTTTGGTGAAGT